ATCGGACATTGTTTCGTTCTGCTGTGCATGGGGTCACTATGAGTCGGTTCCGACTCGATGGCACCTGACAACAACAACAACAACCATAAATGAACTTCAAAATCTTAAATTATCTTTTAATTATTATTATTATTATTATTATTTTTTTAAGGAAGAAACAATTCTTGTTAGAACACAGAGTCTTGTTTGCTGAGATAAGGCCTGGTTTCTGTTCTGTCTTCCATCCCCGCTTACTTTTTGGCTAAATCTGCCACTGCACAGCATTGTTAACATTTTTCAGTATGCTTTCTTTTGGAAAGGGTGGTTTAGCTCTTTTGGTGTGCTTACCTGTCCCCTCTTTTCTGTATCAAAGAGGACTGTTCATTCTGTGTCTTTGAAGCCAGGCAAAATTTCAATGTGGATAGGATTTAGCATCTAACATACCCAGTGCAGGTATGACTCACCAAAAAGAATCGAACTCTACAACGTCACGGTCAGACTTCATGCCTTTGTTTTTTTGTTTTTTTTTTTAAGAAAAAGGAAACAAAGCTCTTCTTAGTTCTAAGTGTACGCTGTTCTACTACAGTGCCCGTTTGTGTGCACGGCGTATTGTAAACATGTTACTCACAGTTGAATTTCCCCTCACTAGGGCTCCTCGTGCATGTAAAACAACTGGAGAAGATAGGGACGGTGTGAGCAAATATACCCCGCTTTTTCTCCACTCCTTTCACTAATGTTGACGGTCCCATCATCATGTTTTAAACGGTGCCTTGGCAACTCGTACTGATGATGGTTGTACAACATGATTGATGTCATTGGTTTTATTGAATTGTACACGTGAAAAATGTTGAATTGGCAAATGTGTTCTTTATATTTCATGACAAAATAGCCTGTTTGCTAAGTGGTTGCCCTTTCAAAGTAGGAAAATTGGGACAGAAAGTGATAGAGGGGCTCACATGTTTTCATGACTTTCTTTTCAAAAGGCTAGGCAGAGGGGTGGGAGCAAATCAGTGACCATGGTCCACTGCATATTTTGCTTGGTTTTTATTTTATTTTATTTTTGCTTGAGAAACTAATAGATATCTGTGACACCTAAGAGCCAAAAGTTAGCCTCTATGTAAATGATTCCTATGAGCAATTTTTTTAAAATCCAAGCAAACAGTGTGTACAATTGTTAGCTCACATTGGGTGGTCCTGAGTATTAAATGTGTTAATACTCAGAAGATTATTAACAGAGGATCTGCTCAATAAGTTGCTATTGATAGCTGTCATCAAGTCAGCCCCCAATTCAGGCACAGCGGGATCAAACCATTGTGATCCATCGGGTTTTCACAGACTGATTTTCCAGAAATAAGTCAGCAGGTCTTTTTCAGAATCTATCTTAGTCTGAAAAGGAGCTCTGGTAGCGTAGTGGTTACGAAT